TTATTTATTTATATCCCACCTATCTGATCTTATGAGCACTCTAGATGGCTTCCAAGTACACACACAAAATGACATATAAAAATTATTAACACTAGGAAATAATTACATCAGATAATAGATTCTTCAAGAAGGGGAAAAGAAGAGAGAAGAAAAAAGAAATAAAAATCAAATATCAAATAAAAATCAAATATACTGATACTGTGTTCACTATCGCACACTAGCTCGCTGTCATGGATATTACTGGCTTTAAATATTTTTGTTGTTGCTGACTTTTGTAATGCACCTGTAGTTCAATTGATTTATTTTTATTACACTGTATAACGGCAGCAAGATTAATTCGTCATGCAAAGAGCAGGACTGTGGTGACAATAAGACTACAAAGCATAAATTGTGACTCCGTTCTCCGTTTCTTCACTTCGCCTGTTTGTTCCAGGCCAGCAGAAAGTCCGGGCGGAAGCAGCTTCAGCGCCTTCCGCTACGGGAGGGGCCGAGGGACATTCCAGCCTGCTTGTCCTGGGGCGGTTGCTAGGGGCAACGCGCGACGCCATTTTGTCCCTCGCGTGGCTGCGGCCAGCGTTTCAAGTTTAGGGCGCAGAAATTTTGGAGGCGTGGGAGGCCTGGAAAAAGGGGGGGGGAGTAAAAAATTGAGGAGGAAGGGATGGGTGTTGGAGGAATAAAAATCCCAAAGGGTGTATTCTTGAAAGGAGGCGTGGGAGGCCTGGAAAAAGGGGGGGTGGTAAAAAATTGAGGAGGAAGGGGTGGGTGTTGGAGGAATAAGAATCCCAAAGGGTGTGTTCCTGAATGCAAACCCCCATAGGTACTGGGCTTAGGGGTCGTTATTTAATTAAAAGGTGAGGGGTGGAGGTGGTCCTAATGAAGTAAATGAGCACATTCTTAAAAGGGAATGTAGAAAGAAGTCTCAGAGGCATGCTTTGAGGTAAGGGGGTTCTGTGGAGGTTTATCTCTGCTAGCAACTGGTCTCCAGCAGGGAAATCTTAGGGACTAGAAACTTTGAAAAAAGAGAAAGAAGGAAGAAGCCCTCAGGCAAAGCTTTTGAATTACTGTATATTGGAAATAAAGGGGAGGCTGGTGGTTGTTAAGGGGCCCAAACGGGCTGGTGGAGGGGTTTTAGCGACTAGAATCTTCTAAGAAAAGAGAGAAATGTATGGAAAAGGAAGGTGGGTAAGAAGCCCCAAGGCTTCAGTCTGAGTCACTTTGTAAGTAAAGGAGGTTCACTAACATGGCCCAAACGGCAGCCGATGTTAGAAACCTTAAATCTTTTTAGAAAAGCCAAGGGCAGTAGAAGCTCTAGCAAAAAGAGCTGGGAATTCTTGAATATTTTAGTACTCTTTGGAATAAGAAATAAAAGTCTGTTGGTCCCTAATAGAGGTGGGAGTCAGATTGGGATGACTCCCCTACATTGTGTATTTAGTACCTTTTGTCCCACCCCTGAGAAAAGTAGTTTAGATTGGTAGTGATGACCAAAGTGTGTTGTGTGGCTTTGAACAGGACTCTTGTGTCTTGTTGCGTCTTAATTTGTAGGCTTCTCAGGTGCTCGGTTCTTAACAAGGAAGCAGTAGCAGCTGAGCCGGTCTTGCTTTGGTGGGGGAGACCCCTCTTGACTGAGCAGGGAGTTGTTAAAGTTTTGTGTTTATTGGAAGAATTTAAAGTTTTTGCCGCACGAGAAGTTGCTTTGTGGAATCATAGCTGGGCTCTTAGAGGCTTGGTATTGATCCTGATAGCCTGAGGGATGTCTTATGAATGGCTTTGTCCCTTTGAAGTTGTTGGGTAGTTGTGTGCGACTCAAAGAGAACAGCATTGCCATCTTTTCATTTGTAACTGTGCTTTTTTTGCCCCTGAGATTTAGGTATGGGTTGGGCAAGTTGCACAGAGAAGCACTAGCCTTCCAAGGAAGGCGGGTTTCATAGCTATACGTAGGGGTGGCCCTGTCACACCCAGAAAAGATGCCGGTGAACCCAAAAGTAGATCCCCGCTACTTCGTACTCATCAGGCCCCTTCCCATCCCCACCCAGAAAGGTCTGAAGGTTCAAGCTCGAAGCGACACAATCTATAACTGCTGGGATGTCACTAGAGAGCAGGTGTTCCGGGAGAATTATCATCGTAGGGCCAAACAGCTTGAACAACAGGGTTATTTTACCCCCAACTGGAAACCCTACCAGGATTTCGGAGACCCTCTTCACCTTGATCCAAGGAAACTTACTCTCTATGGTCTGGGACAGCTTCCACCGGTAAGCAGGGTGTTCTATAAATATATCATACATTTATCTTTATCTTCTATTTCAGCAAGCTTTTCAAACCCTTCCACTTTAAAAGCTCTGCTGAGATTATATATTTAACATCAATAGCCACCGCCTGATTTTATTTTATGTTAATTTTAATTGTTGTTTGGTCAATTACATGTTTATGTTGTTTTTGTTATGCAGTGCCCAGGGTAACCAGTGGTCAGAGGGGCAGTTTAGAAGTTCAATCAATCGGTCAATACACTCTTCATTCAGAAAAGGCTATCAATAAATGATAACTTTACAAATAATAAGGTAATGCCGAACCTCAGGCTTTTTAATTTTTTGCAGTACAGTGGGGTCTCTACTTAAGAACGTCCCTACTTAAGAACAATCCAACTTAAGAACAGCTCCATTTGCTAAATTTTGCTTCTACTTGAGAACAGAAATCCAAGATAAGAAGACAGCTTCCACCGGTAAGCAGGGTGTTCTATAAATATATCATACATTTATCTTTATCTTCTATTTCAGCAAGCTTTTCAAACCCTTCCACTTTAAAAGCTCTGCTGAGATTATATATTTAACATCAATAGCCACCACCTGATTTTATTTTGTTAATTTTGTTTGGTCAGTTATTGTTTTTGTTATGCACTTCCCAGGGTCAGAGGGGCAGTTTAGAAATTCAATCAATCAGTCAATACACTCTTCATTCAGGAAAGGCTATCAATAAATGATAACCTTACAAATAATAAGGTAATGCCCAACCTCAGGCTTTTTAATTTTTTGTGGTAGATAGTTTAGGGCTCTGCTGGAAGGTGTGATTTGTAGTAGATGGGCAAGCATTGTGGATCTCTAATTGTTTAGCAATGGCAAAAACAGAAGACTGGTGCTGTGAATATACGTTTCTAAGCTATGAGAACCTATACACCAGCAACTTGTATCAGACAAGAAAACAAAAAGCCAAGAGACCAGAATATGGCACCTCTAAAGACTAACTGCTGTATTTTAATGTGAGTTTTCATTGATCAACTCATTAAAATATAGCAGTTAGTCATTAAGGTACAACAACATTTCTCTCCCTCTCTCTTTTTTTGATATGATTTCTTTGATTTGTCTTTGAAAGCCACTATTGGAAACTCAGTGTTCTCCACTGATAAGATGTTCTAAATTTTTAAAACCTAGTTCCAACCCCGCTGGCTATTTTTTAAAACATTCTCTCTCGTTTTTTTAATCTGCTGTGGCAGACGATTTGCCCTCTAATAAGATTCTATGGAGTAATTGTGTCGTTGCACACAAAGGTGTGACCTCGTGCTAATCATTTGTCTCCCCTTCTCTGTGGTCCTCCTCACCCTATTAAAGGTGAGCGTTCACTGATGGCTCTCTGCAGGTGTGCTGGCAAGTTTTGGAACTTTTCTTTCTGCTCTTCAGCTGCAGTACCCCGAGTGTGGCTTTGTTCTTACTCCTATACAAGGTCACAACAGTGTTTTGTTCGTGGGTTTCATTAGGTGCATGGCTCCTCCCCCTGAGCTGCCATTTGGCATCAGGTTCTAAGCCTAAGTCAGTGATCTGTTCTAGTTAGGGGAAAAAATCCCACAATCCTGATGTTTTTCCACACGTGACCTAGAAAACATGACACAAATGGAGAAGCCAGGGTGGCTCAGGAATATGGAAGGTGAAGCCCAATGGATTTGGGGAATGCCAGGTTGGGGAAGACCGGTGTCACCTGTTATACCTCTGGAAATCCTTTAGGACAGTGGTCCCCAACCTTGGGCCTCCAGATGTTGTTGGATTACAACTCCCAGAAGCCTTCACCACCACCTCTGCTGGCTAGGATTTCTGGGAGTTGAAGTCCAAGAACATCTGGAGGGCCAAGGTTGGGAACCACTGCTTTAGGGCACTGGAGTTTGTATGTAGTTAGCCCTTTTCACTCCAACGTCTGCTAACCATCCCCTTCCCCATTTTTGTTTGAGATATTGGGACTCTAACAAAGAACATTATGTCCCCCGGCTAGGGCTTAAGTTTAGTAAGCTATCTGAAATGTGTGTTCTTACATTTTGGGTGCATAGACTCTTGTTAAGTGATAACTAAACTACCCAAAGTAACTTCTGGCACCATTTTTATACATTAAGCTTCTGCTTCTGGAATGTTGTAATCAGGCATCAAGTTATCTTGAACATTCACAAAGGAAGAGCAGTTTCTGCCACTTCTCTTCCCTTACTGAAAACCATCTTCCCAATTAGCTCAGTGCCAAAGAATGAGTCAGCCTGGACTTGAAGGCCTCTCTCACACCAACAAGCTACAGCCGGCTGGTTCAAAGTAGTGACTACAAAACCTGAGTATTCAAAAAGAGCACCGAAGTCTGTGATCTCTCAGTTTCCCCATGTTTTTACACAAAGCAATGTGAGAGAGATGATCTGGAAAGTCCCCAGAGAGCTAGGCATTTAGAAAAGAATCAATATTTTGTAGGACTGGTGATGGGGAGAGAGGGAAACAATGGTTTCCTTTATTTTGCTGCCCCCCCCATTATGCCATATGGCTGATGTCTGTACATGTGTGGCTCCTGCCTACTTCAGTTGTGCATGCGTGTTGCTACTGCGCATGTATTTTGGTATGTGTATACGAGTTTTGCTTCCAACCTCAAGTGGTGGGAAGACTGAGCAACTCTGAGAATGACATTGTCTTATCCCTGCTATTATGCAGATGATTTTTGGGCTGGTTTTGAATGTGCAATTAAAACCCATTAGATTTACAAAAGACCTTCAGCTGATGGAGCTGAGAACAGGCACCATTGGTTTGTTTTTATTGAACAGGATGGGTGCCTATATTTTTGGATTCACTTTTGTAGCTATGGTTATGGGGACTGTCATGAAGAGCAGCAGCTGGGCTTCGTTTACCACTGCTCTGATTTGCTGAATGGACACAATTTGGCCTGCTATTGAGGTTTGCCTAGCCTTAAAACTGTCCCTGCTATTTTGACTCAGGGAAGCTAGGATCGTTTTCAAAGCATGGCATTTCCAGGTGTTTCTTGGCATGCTATCACCACTCTTCTATCACCAACCTTCTTTGGATGCGCTCCCTGAATGGCCTGGTTGAGCCCTTCTAGCATTTATTTAAAGACTGGGTGAAATGACTGAGTGTTGTTTTTGAAAGTCAATGGCTGATCTCCAGAGATGGGCACACTTTGAGCAGGCAGCTCTGATTAATTGAAAATCAGGAAACACGTTGCTCCCTAAAGACCTGTTTGATTACCTGAGCGTTCCAAACCCTTGTGTTAAAAGGTCTGGTTTGATTCCTTAGCAAACTGTTGCAGTAGGGGGAGAATTAGTTTCCCTTTTTGTCTGTTTAGAGGGTTAATTGCTGTGGCTAATGCATTTGCAATATGCCTTTGGCGGGTTGCTGACTTCTTAACAAAAACAGATTTCTTTTCTTGTTGTTCACACTTAGAACATATGTGTCCTTTAAAAATGTGTAGTGTCATTGATGCCCTGTCCTGCTCTAAGTAATAAGATCCCATTGGGCTATTGTGTGGTTGTACATAAAGAAGATGGGTAACAAGATGGTTAATCTTGCTTCTATCCAAAAAGATGAAAACAAGAAAATGAAGCTGTTTTTGTTGATGAAACCATGAGAACAAAACATTAATATTATTTCTGCTCCTTTCATGGAATGAGTGTGCTATTTGCAGTTGCATAAAACTGCTGGAGCCTGATTTGCAGCTTTGGAAGCTGTTGCCTAGAACTAAGCTGTCTCGTTGGCATCTGGGGAAGATGTTCTACAATGGGGCATAATCCTGACCGGGCATAGAACTGAGTTGCTGCTTCGGAAGGTAGATGTGAAAAAATCCCAATTGGTAAAAATTACATCTGGACCTGCTCACTTTGTTTTGGCTGTAACTCTGCCCACTGCTAGAAAGGAGTCCCCGGGACCTCTCTGAAATCTGATTTGGCTCCCAGGTGGGAAGACATACGTCTCCTCTCGTCTAGACCCAATTCCTGGTTGGAGCTAATCTTAATTTTAAGATTAATGGTCAAGGGCCTGCAATATTGAAGGCTTTATGACAGCCAAAGAAACTGAAAACAGTCTTTGGGATCTAGTCAAAGAGACAGTGTTGGTGACTCTCTTCAGGGACATGATATGTACAGAAGTATGCAATCTTTTCCAGAGTTTATTGAACAACTGATGGAAGGCATTGGGTATTTATAAAGTGAATAGACCCAATTCCTTCTACATCCTTAAGACCACACAAGTGATGCAAATTGTTATCTATTTCTTTGTGTTATCACACCCTTTGCCTTCCTCTCTAGTTGAGTCAAAGGTCATATGAGTATGGGCAAAGTAGTATCAGACTCGCTGCGAAGCCTTTTTGGCTCACTTCTGTCGCATTCTCATCTGCCTGGGTTCGGCTTTCCCAGGCTGGTGAACAGCTGAAATGACTGATGCATTAAAAGTTGTATTCATGGATCTCACTAAAGCAATTTCTTGCTTATGCTTAATAGAGAGGAAAGTGACTGACGTACCAAAAAGGCAGGTATCCATGAAACTAAGAGCTATCTAGAAATATTGACACCTCCATGGGGAACATGATGGAGACTATATGAAGGAATGTGGGACATTAGGAATGTGAAAATCTTGTCTTGGTTTTATGGCATCCCTGTGTTTCTTCCCATCCTTATTCTGTATCAGTCTGCTAGACTTCATGGGGTTTTTTTGGGCGCTGGAATTTATGCAGAGTTATATGCACATACTGGAAATCAAGCCCAATGAGGTCCCTGTGTTTCTTCCCATCCTTATTCTGTGTCAGTCTGCTAGACTTCATGGGATTTTTTGGGCGCTGGAATTTATGCACAGTTATATGCACATACTGGAAATCTAGCCCAATGAGGAAAAACTGAAAGAGCTGGGCATGTTTAGCCTTGAGAAAAGAAAACTGAGGGGAGATCTGATAGCACTTTTCAAATAATTGAAAGGTAGTCCTACAGAGAAGGGCAGGATCTGTTCTTGGGACACAT